GAGCTCATGAATCCCCCGTAGCGCTTTTCCTTCCGGGAATCCCACGGGAATTCCCAACCTCCTTCCCCTTCCTCCTCCTCCTCCTCCTCCTCCCCACCCCGCCACGGCTCTTCCCGCCGGAATTCCGGCTGGGAATTCTCCTCCCATTCCTCCTGGGCTCCGTTGGGATAGACCTTGACCGGCCTCCTCTTGCGCCCCACGGGCTTTCCCCATCGGAAGTGCTCCATGGAGTAGGAGCGCTTCCCGTCCCTTCCCGCCTCTCCCCAGGGCCGGGAAAAGGCGGGAAGAATTCCGGGATGGAATTCCCGTTTCCGGCCGTCGGGATCGCTGCTGTTCTGGCGGCCGAAGCGGTTCCATCGGAAGTGGCTCATCACGTAGCCGCGGGCCCCCGCCGACAGCGGCTGCCGCTCCCCGTTCCCGGGGAAAACCGGAGATTCCCAGGAAAGCCGGGAGCGGCAGGATCCCGGGCAGCCCTGCAGGGAGGCGGCCGGAATTCCATCAGAGCGGGAATTTTTGGGGGAATTTCGGGCAATTCCCGAATCTCCCGCTGGTTTTTCTTCTTCTTTTCTTTATTTTTTTTTTTTTTTATTTTTTTTTTTTTTAAACGGGAATCTCCCCCCCCCCCCCCCCCCCGTTCCCGAACGATTCCCACCGGGAATTCCATCCCGGGATTCCTGTTCCACGCGTGATTCCAGAGAATTCCCAAATCCCAGCGGTTTTTTTTTGTGGGAATCTCCCGGTTCCTCCCCCACCCCCCCATTCTCCGAACGATTCCCAAATCCCGGAATTCCCGCTCCTCTCAGGATCCCCGGGAATTCCCCAATCCCGTTCCATCCCGGAATTCCCATTCCTTGCATCATTCCCAGGAATTCACAAATCCCAGCGGTTTTTTTTTTTTTTTTTTTTTTAAGGGGAATCTCCCAGTTCCTCCCCCCATTCCCGAACGATTCCCACCGGGAATTCCATCCCGGGATTCCCGTTCCCCTCTTGATCCCGAGGAATTCCGAAATCTGGGAACTCCCCAAATCCCAGAATTCCCATTCCACGCACGATCCCAAGGAATCCCCCAAATCCCGTCCCATCCCGGGATTCCCACTCCCGGCTTGGTCCCCAGGAATTCCCAAATTTTGGGAATTCCCAGATCCCGTCCCGTCCCGGAGTTCCCGTTCCTCTCGGGATTCCCGGGAATTCCCAGATCCCACCATTTTTTTAATGGGAATCTCCCAATTCCTCCCCTCGTTCCCAAATTATTCCCACCAGGAATTCCGTCCCGGAATTCCCGTTCCTCTCGGGATTCCAAGAAATTCCCAAATCCCGTTCCATCCTGGAATGCCCCTTCCTCTTGTGATCCCAGAGAATTCCCAACTCTGGGAATTCCCAGATCCCATCCCATCCCAGAATTCCCATTCCTTGCATCATTCCAAGGAATTCCCAGATCCCAGCATTTTTTAAGGGGAATCTCCCAACCCTCCCCCCATTCCCGAACGATTCCCACCGGGAATTCCATCCCGGGATTCCCATTCCTGACATGATCCCAAGGAATTCCCAAATTTTAGGAATTCCCAGATCCCATCCCATCCCAGAATTCCCGTTCCTCTCGGGATTCCCGGGAATTCCCAAATTTCCCAGCTTTTTTTTTTGGTGGGAATCTCCCAATTCCTCCCCCATTCCCAAACGATTCCCAGCGGGAATTCTGGGATGGAAGGGGATTTGGGAATTCCCAGATTTGGGAATTTTTTGGGGGGGAATATTTCGGATTTTTTGGGATTTGGTCCCAAAAAATCTGAAAGATTCCCCCCAAAAAAAATCTCTGGGAAAATTCCCGTTCCCAAATCCCTCCTTTTTTGGGGGAATTTTTTTTTGAGAATTTAATTCCCAAATAATTCATTTTTTAGTGAATTTTTGGGATTTAATTCCCAAATCCCTCCATTTTTTGGGAATTTTTTCCATTTTTGGGGGGGATTTGATCCCAAAAAATCTCCTGGAAAATTCCCACTCCCAAATCCCTCCTTTGTTTTTTTGGAATTTTTGGGATTTAATTCCCAAATCCCTCCATTTTTAGGGATTTAATTCCCAAATCCCTCCATTTTTAGGGATTTTTGGGATTTAATTCCCAAAACCCCTCAAGTTTTTAGGGAATTTTTGGGAATTATTTCCATTTTTTAGGGAATTTTTGGGAATGATTTCCATTTTTTAGGGAATTTTTGGGAACGATTTCCATTTTTTAGGGAATTTTTGGGAACGATTTCCATTTTTTAGGGAATTTTTGGGAACGATTTCCATTTTTTAGGGAATTTTTGGGAACGATTTCCATTTTTTAGGGAATTTTTTGGGAACGATTTCCATTTTTTAGGGAATTTTTTGGGAACGATTTCCATTTTTTAGAGAATTTTTGGGAACGATTTCCATTTTTTAGGGAATTTTTTGGGAACGATTTCCATTTTTTAGGGAATTTTTTGGGAACGATTTCCATTTTTTAGGGAATTTTTTGGGAACTATTTCCATTTTTTGGGGGGGGATTTGATCCCAAAAAATTTCCCAATTCCCAAGGATTTTACCGGGATTCCGGCCTCTCCTCCTGGATCCCGACATTCCGGGTTCTCCGGGCACGGATCCGAAGCTCCCACGGAATTCCAGAGGATCAGCGCCAGCGCCACCGGAACCATTCCCGATCCCATCCCGGCCCGGAAAAACGGGAATGAGCTGCCGGAAAAATCCCGGGGAAAAAAAATAAAATCTCCGGTGAGAAATTCCCGGAATTCCTTGGTTTCCCCGTGCCTCAGTTTCCCCCTGGGAAAAATCCCTCCTCCCTTTTTCCCGGGATTTGGGATCGATTTCCATGGGAAAATCCCAATTTTTTCCCCAAATCTGGGAATGTTCTGGAAGGAATTTTTCCTCCTTTTCCCCGTGCCTCAGTTTCCCTCTGGAAAAAAAATCCCTCCTCCCGTTTTCTGGGATCGATTTCCATGGGAAAATCCCGGTTTTTTCCTGGATTTGGGAACGTTCTGGAAGGAATTTCTCCCATTATTTCTTTAGGGATCCCATTCCTTTCCCCGTGCCTCAGTTTCCCCCTGGGAAAAATCCCTCCTCCCGTTTTCCCGGGATTTGGGGGGTCGATTTCCATGGGAAAATCCCATTTTTTCCCAAATCTGGGAATGTTCTGGAAAGAATTTTTCCCATTTTTTTTTTAGGGATCCCTTTCCTTTTCCCCGTGCCTCAGTTTCCCTCTGGAAAAAAAATCCCTCCTCCCGTTTTCCCGGGATTTGGGATCAGTTTTCCATAATTCCCCCCCAAAATTCCCGGTTTTCCGCAGGGAAACTGAGGCACGGCTTTTCCCAGATCTGGGAATGCTGGGGAGGGAATTTTCCCATTTTTTTTTTTTTTTTTTATGGATCCCTTTCATTATTCCCGTGCCTCAGTTTCCCTGCGGAAAACCGGGAATTTTTGCGGGGAATTATGGGAAAACGATTTTTCCCAGAGGGAAACTGAGGCACGGGTAGGTTTATTTATTTTTTATTTTTTTTTAATTTTTTTAAATTTTTTTTCCCCAGATCTGGGAATGTTCTGGAAGGAATTTTTTAAATCCCATTTTTCCAAAATCTGGGAATTCTCAGGAAGGAATTTTTCCCATATATTTATTTTTTTTTTTTTTTTTTTTCCGGGGGAAGCGGATCTCTTTCCCGTGCCTCAGTTTCCCTCGGGGAAAAAAATCCCTCCTCCCGTTTTCCGGGATTTGGGATCGATTTCCATGGGAAAATCCCGGTTTGGGAAAATTCCCTCCCGAGCATTCCCAGATTTGGGAAAAATCGGGATTTTTTCCCATGGAAATCGATCCCAAATCCCGGAAAACGGGAGGAGGGATTTTTTTCCCGAGGGAAACTGAGGCACAAAAAAAAAAAAAAAAAAAGGGGG